CAGCCTTTACAGAACTTTTTCTTTTTATGCATACTTTTTTGACGTATTTGCGAAGGACGAGACTGAATATCAGTTTGATCTAACGACTCTCTCGACCCATCAGGGATATTTGATGACATTTGACGTTGGAAAGGAGGCATTTCTTGAGTTGGCGCATGTGGTACCTGTGTTTTCGATCGTTGATTTTGTATACGGGGTGGAGGCAGCTGCTGTGGTGCGTTATGAAATTGATGCAGTTGATTTAATGCTGGTGATGGCGATTCATTTCCCATAAAATTTGATTTTTCTGAACTTGGTGATACCGCTATCGAATGTCTTTGATTTGGTTTACTTAAATGGTGATCACCTCCAGACTGTGGTTTAGACTGTGGTGTTCGTGCGTGTGGTTGGGGGCAAGGTGGGTTGCCCTGCAGCGGTGGTTGTTGTACATGTATTGGTATTTGATTACTTGGTTGAGTTTGAAATGATTTTTGTTGCAGCCGCGAAGGTGAATACAGTCTCTTATCAGTCTTGTAACTAGGCTGGGGATATGATGGCATAGGAGGAATCAAGCTCTTCCAATTTGGAGTATTATTATGTGCGTAATTAGGTGCTGGTATTCCTCCTCCTGCAAAGTCCTTCTTATCATTACTGTAACCATAACTATGACTCCGTAAATGTAACCTCATTCCATTATGCTTGGAGGCAGGCTTGTTAATTAATGGACTGTCATTTGGATTATAAATGTCGCTGGCCTGTAACTTATACGGCGACGTATGTAGATTCTTATACAGCTTTTTATTTGTCGAAATGTTTTTAGAATCGGATGGATTTGACATATTGATAATGCCTTATATGGTCTTCGTATTAATGTTGTAGTTTACTATTGTCCGTACGGAAATATTTTAGTTTTAAAAGAGTGACTAGTGAGTTGGAATTTAAAATATGTGGAACGGAATATTGTTTATGCCTCAAGAATTCATAAAAACTCAATGTTATCAGCGTTCAACCTTTTTGTTTGTTGATGTGGGTTGGAATATGCCAGTTGTATGAATTCTAACGCTAGACGTTGAATTCTGGGTGGGTGTAGTAATTAAAAAAGTATTAACCCACGTCCTTTACCTGGAATTATCTTCGATTGAACCTTATACAATTAATTTATACTTCCTATTAGATCAACGAGATTTATCAAAAGTGTGTCAATATTATATATCTGGATGTATATCTCGAGATATATATCAAACTTTCTATCCAACTATTCGTCTGGTTGATTGATTGATTGATTGATTGATCAACTCACTGATGAAGTAAGATATATATATAAATATTACTATTATATAATATACTTTTTGACTTAGTAAAAGGAAGTACTTAAGAAAAGAGGAGTGTGTTTTTGAGTGTTTGGGCGCTTATTATTTTGTTGTTGTTTTGTTGTTTTAGTCACAACTTTTTTAGCGTGTGAGGATCAAATCGGTCCCCGGAAAAATTTTACCATTCTGCTTGAAAACAATTTTTGATTGATTAATGTACTGGATGTATATGGTGCACTGATTGTATAACATACAACCGATAATAGTATGCATTTGGTATGCCAGTAACTGAGGTATCGGACATTATAGAGACGTGTGGGTGGGGATGCTATCAGACGTTGATGTAAGGAGGAAACAAGAAACAACAAATCAAGATTAAGATATAGTATGTAATAGAAGCGATCTGTAGATAGTAGGTGGTGATGTTTGTGGATTGAGATACATTTGAATGAGAGGAATATGGATCGAGTATATCTACGGTTCAATATCTTTAATTTATGTATTAGTGTCTAAATTATACGGCGCACTAGGCGACGTGATAGCGATTAGGTCGCGATTAGTGAAGCATGCTTGTTGCGCATCTATATGCATTGGTGAATGAGCGATTGAATGCCAACTTTTTGGTTGAGTATGTATAATGAAAATTGTTAGCCTGATGCAGAATAATTTTGATTTTGTCACTTTCCTGAAGTAGTTATATCTCTAGTGTTGATAACATTCTTTTAATCCTTGACCTGGGACTCGCCTCCAATACCTCTTTGATTCACCAAAAAGTACACGTCTGCTGTCTTTCCACACCTTCATGAGGATGTCTTTTCTAGGAAGAAATTGCGGAAATACGATCTTGATCATCTTATCATTATTCAAGGTGAGTCCGCTTATATTGTCGGGGTTCGTATTTTTGGTTTTTGTTAGCACACACATGTAGAAGACAACCTGGCCATACCCATGGAACCCTTCATGTATAACTAAGTCGATAATGTTGCTGATTGGGATGAAATGGCTCTTGTTGCCATTAAGCGAAAACTTCCATCCCGATTGTGAATTGAGCTGGATTCCAACGTCGTTCATAATCAATATACTGTCTTCCTTTTCTTGTCTGCTGTACAATAGAATTATCAGTAATACTAGTATCGCGACAACAACACTATTCAACAAGAGACTATTTGTTTCTGTATCATTGGAGTCTATGTAATCTTGAAAAAGTTTCACGATCGCCGGCGAAAACGTTTGATTATGTTGGATTAGTGGTAAATTGTTGCTACTGAGTCTCCTTATTATCATATCGTTATTGATAAATAAACAGAAGCAAAAGCTAACCAACACACCTGCCAAACCAACCAAAATCGGTATTTGTAAATATTTGAAGAAGCGATTTGGTTTATGCTTGACCGTGAATTTAATCAAGTTGTCACGATCTGACGAAGGCAGTACCTCTAAAACAAAATCCTTCGGAGATGACATGTCTCTCAAGCTATCATGGAGTGTATTATTTATACAAGAATATGTCCAGTACTTATCTATACACGTTTTATATGCTACCGTATGAGTCAAATTTTCAGCAGATTAGATCACGTGAAAATTGATAATCGTCCCGAGTAAAAAGATGCATGAGCTTCCATCAGTCAGTTTCAGTTCTTTGCTTCTTAACATCATCAATTGAACCCAAAACCATTTCATTCTTACGTAACTCCTTAACCTTTTCTGCTCTTGTCATTGGTTTAGAACCTGTTCTAATTTCAATTTCTCTTCTTCTACTCGCTTCTGCATCTTCCTTAATAGCCTTCTGTCTTTCTTCAACAATTTCAGCCATATGTTGTTCATGTTTGAGTCTTATCTGTTTTAATTCTTCGTTATAAAATTCTAATGTCTCAAACTTGTTTTTGGAGGCATCACAATATTTATCAAAATCTGCTGGTAGCTTCCTTCTTAATGCAATTTCCACAATTTCGGGATACTTCTTTTCTTCCAAGTTAAACTTCAGTTTAATTTGTTTCCTAGTTCTATATGGAAATAACTGGGCGATGAAGGTGAAATCAGTTCCCCAAGTACTCAAGGCGGTATAGAACTGTTTAAGTTCCTCAGGAGTCCAACGATCAGTATGCTTTCTTTTAGAATACGTAGATGACGTGATTGGGTTCTCGAAGGGATTCGATTCTTCTCTCGATTTACCACTAGTATCATGATTACGGTGTCTATTGACAATAGTGGAATCTTCATCAACAACAATGCTTCCGTTTTGCATGGAAAGTTTGATGCTGGTGCTTTCAGTTGGTATATCATCAACATTCAATAAATCATTTTGGATCTTTTTTCGTTCTTGTTCCTCAGGCTTATCGCTGGCACCGGTGACTTCTTCTAATGCCTTTCTTTCTGTACGAGCTCTCATTCTATCGACTCTTTTACGGAGCTTTTGCTTTCTGATTTTCTCTTGCGCTTCTTTGACCAACTGGAAATTTTCACTAATTTCTCCGATAGGCAACGAGGGTTTACATAAATCGGCCATAGTTATAGTATCGATTTGAACCCCGATTTGGGAGAACAATTCTAGATCCGAATCTTCAACTTTACGAGGAAGCTGCTTAATACTGGTTATTCGTGTATCCAAGTCCTTTGGAGCAATGGGTATCAGCTTATGTTTCAATCTTTTGGATTTAGAATCTATCGAGTCATCATCATTTTCCAGGATATCGGAATCCTTATCCTCATTGTCACTGGATTCTTCTTCACCAGTATCAGTACGGAATTTCTTTAATTTATTCGTTTTCGGATCAATACCAATGACATATTTCGCTTGGGACAAATTTATGGCATCTTTATTATCCTCCTCGTCACTTCCTAATCTCTGAGAGTCCTTTGGCGTCTGTATTATTGACGCATTTAATGCTAATGACTTCTTAATACCCGGTCTGTGATGCGCAGCCAGTGATCTTCTCTTACTCGGCTTAGAAATAGGTATACCAATCTTCATAGGAGCTTGGCCCAATCCATCTGCCCCTTCGGGTTGAACAGAAACGGTTGGTGTTATCGATACTGATGTCGAGCCCGTTCTATTCCGTATTATGTTTGGGGTTATTCCAGATAATCTTCTTTGTGCTCTAATTGATGATTGTCTTCTGTACGTTCTAAGCTCTTCCGGCTTCTTAAAAATATCATTATCACCATATTCATTTGCTTCTTCTTGACTTTCGTTATCAGATTCTGAATCTTCCAGTTGATCTCGAGAAATTTTACGGGATGTATCCATGGGATCAACATCTTCCTCTACCAAACTAGAAACATCTGGTTTATTAGTTTGTAGCGAAAAGTTAAAGTTAGGAGTCTCATTATCTATCTTTTGTGAGCTTGATATTTCAAGATCCTTCTCATGGTTTTCTTTATTCGCCTTATCAATACTTTCTGCTTGACTAACTTGTGTAGTAGGAGGTGTTATTATACCAGTAGGCTTAGATAAAGAGGATCCCTTCCTCCTTATTGCCTTCTTTTTAAGCTTGGGTGTGAAATGAGATGACTTTTTAACAACACTACTCATGTTCTAATATGATTATTATATATCAACCAGTAGTTAATATAAAAGATAGTTAAATGTTGTTTACTTATGTCATCTCCTGGTACTCATTAAAAAAAATTACACAAAAAAAAATATTTAAGATAAATACAAGGAACTAGCTTTATTCTTAACTATCATTCAGAGAATCAAATCAAGAAACTATGAGAGCCATTGCTAAGTATGCATGGCCAGCTAATAATACGGAGGATTGGATATTAAATTTGGCTTATTTACCAAATCTTCATAATGGTTCTTTCGCATCATCAACAAGTGGAGGATCTATTAACTTGTATCTGCTACAACAATTGTCTAACAATCCAATTTTGAGAATAGATAAGGCTCATGAGTCAAGCATAAACTCCATGAAAGCAATTGATGATACTACCATAGGGTCATGTTCTACGGATGGATTGAAAATTTGGGATTTGAGGACCTCATCGGGGAAGCCCGTGCATACTTTAGCGAATGCCAAAACTTCAAACTTTTTATCTCTTGATTATTTTAACAATCTTCTTGCAGGGGGAACTGAATTAGTTGGTGCAGATGCCGAATTACATATTTGGGATTTAAGGAACACTTCGAATGTGATAAGATCATTTATTGATTCGCATAATGATGATATTACGGATATAAAATTCCATCCTAACTCTCGATTCTTGATGTCTGGATCTACAGATGGGTGTGTGAATGTGTATGATCTTGAACAAGAAGATGAAGAGGATGCTTTACATCAAGTTATAAACTATGCATCTGTTCATTCTTGTAATTTTATTCAAGATAATCGTATCTCAGTGTTATCGCATATGGAAACTTTAGCATTTTACGAACTAAATAATACTAATTACGAAAAAATCGAAGAACCGGCGCCGAATGATATTGGGGATGTAAGAAAATTATGGCCCGATTGCGAATATGTAGTTGACATATATCCAAGCGGTTACGTTGCATGTGGTGCTAATTCTCAACTGAAATTATCGTTGTATCCGTTTAATCCTGTATTAGAGAAAATAGACTTGAGTAAACCTGTTTGGTTTCCTGATGCTCACGGTGCAGAAGTTGTCAGGGACGTATTGGTGATACCAAACCAAAAATCTGCCTTGACTTGTAGTGAAGATGGTACAATTAAGGCCTGGGAATTGCCTTATGAATTACAGTACTTCGACTTAAACTTGAACGATGCAAAAACAGAAATGAAGGAAGACGTACTTATGGGTACTGAAGAACATAATTTAGAGCTGAAGCCTCTTAAGAAAGAAAAGAAGGACAAAAAGGACAAAAAGGAAAAGAAAGAGAAGAAAGAAAAGAAAGATAAAAGCGACAGGAAATCCAAGAGAGACAAGAAGGATAAAGACGGTAAATCCGAAAGATCAAAGAAAAAGAAGAGTGATGTTAGGTTCAAACCATATTAGAATAAATAGCGTCTATGTATATTATAAAATAAATATTTAAAATTGTCTACTTCCTTTGACCACTATCGGTATCATTCCACCGGTAGGTATAGTAAATTTTCTATGGTTTATCACTGTTATGAAGGAACGTATTGTTCCAGCATGTGAAGTTATAGAAATGAAGGTATTATCTTTCAAATTTTCTTTATCTATATGATGCTTAGTGTCCTGCCAGTCTTGCTCAAAGAGACCTTGAAGGAATGTATTAATACGCAAGAACTGCTGATGTAATTTTTCTCTATTAACAGAGTACTCTTCATCCAACTGGTCCGTTTCAGAAAACCCTGGCTCAAATTGAAATGAAGGAAATGTTTTCTTAATCTCTGATTTGGTAGATCTTTTATGGCACAAATGAATTCCAATAGTTTCCCGCAACTTTTCATTAACTATTGGCTTAGGTATATTAATACCTTCCCAAGTATAATTCAAAGTATGACACGATCTTTGCAATGGTGAAACATATAAGTTACTTGGTATTGGTGCTCCCTTAGACACTTGGTCCTTCCACACCATATTGTTCTCTTTGGCTTGTTTAATACCCAACTCTGTCAAATCCGCATCCGGACCCCACGTCAACTCTCCATCTGTACCTAGAAATCTCCACTTTTTCATCCATTCCTCTGCTGGATATTTATGCGATGCTATATTGTGCCATCCTTCACCATGTCGGGCTAAGAACAATACTTTATAACATTCGTTATTCGGGGAACATCTATTTAATTCGTCGATCTGTGTAATGATATCGTCCCATGAATGCAATCTTCCCAAATCTTCTTCTGTGTAGTTAAATAGTAAATCATCTGTATCAGGGTCCGTTTGCTTGAAAAACCCTCGAACCGGAGAAAATGTCCATGGATATGCATTCTTGTTCGCTGAGTCTGGAGCATTTTGCAATTGCGATATTTCTTCATAATATAGCTCGTCCTGGTCGAGATCAGCATGCGAGTCAACACGATCTCTTGCGCTTGGTATTAATAGTGACGTAGACATGACCCGATGTTTTTTGTTGAATAGATGACCTTAATTCAAGGTTATATGTTAAATTTTTCACTTCTTTTACAAAAGATGTTTACTCTTTCCAGTTAGGAGAGCATCAATATATATAATAGAGGTTTACAGTTTACAATAGGAAAATACAAAATTGCAAGTTAGAGATTTATCTTCTTTGAGTCTCTCGAGGTATCTGAAAGCAAGACGTCTGTACCAGCAAACTGGAGTACGCTTAATACTGTTTCATTAAATTTAGATTTATCTTCTAATCCACAACATTCATTACGAAAATATGTCCGATAATTTCCTGGAAAATAGCGAGACACCTAAGCCATTGGAGCTGAAAACGTATGACGAAAAAGTGGACGGTGAAGGTTTTGAGAAAAGCACTGAAAATGCAACTAAAGATGAAATAAACGTCAAACATGAATTAAGTAATAGTGAAGAACTTGAAAATGGCCATGCATTGAAGAGAGCTAAGTTGGAAGAATCGTTGAAGAATAAGAATACCATAATCGTTGTTCCACCTACAAAGCCGCAGTTGTTCTATAGTCCATTGAAAACCGGCTTAGTATATGATGTCCGGATGAGATATCACGCTAAAATATTTACTTCGTATTTTGAATACATCGATCCCCATCCAGAGGATCCACGTCGTATTTACCGTATTTATAAGAAGTTGGCAGAGGCCGGGTTGATTCAGGATAGTTCATTATCAGGAATTGATGAAATAGGGCCGTTAATGGTGAAGATTCCAATCAGAGAGGCGTCCGCGGAAGAGATATTAGAGGTCCATTCAGAAGAGCACTTGAAATTTATTGAATCAACAGAAACCATGAGTCGTGAACGGTTATTGGAGGAAACAGAGCGGGGTGATTCGATTTACGTGAATAATGATTCGTATCTCTCCGCTAAACTCTCGTGCGGTGGTACTATTGAAGCCTGTAAGGCCGTGATCGAGGGACGTGTAAAGAACTCTCTTGCTGTAGTGAGACCTCCGGGACATCATGCTGAACCAGACACACCAGGAGGATTCTGTCTATTCAGTAATGTTGCAGTTGCGGCAAAAAATATTCTCAAGAGGTATCCTGAATCAGTGAGAAGAATTGTGATTGTTGATTGGGATATACATCATGGAAATGGTACTCAAAAGGCGTTTTACGATGATCCAAGAGTATTGTATATTTCACTTCATAGGTATGAAAATGGTAAGTTTTACCCAGGAACAAAATATGGTAATAGCACACAAACTGGGGAAGGTGCTGGGGAAGGTTATTCATTGAATATACCGTGGAGAACCCCCGGTATGGATGATGGAGATTATTTTTATGCTTTTAACAAAGTTGTCATACCAGTCATCACTGAATTTGATCCTGATTTGGTTATCGTTAGTTCGGGTTTCGATGCAGCAGATGGAGACATAATCGGAGGGTGCCATGTTTCTCCTACTGGTTATGGCCATATGACCCATCTACTCAAGGGAATAGCGAAAGGAAAACTATGTGTTGTCTTGGAAGGAGGCTATAATTTAGACTCTATCAGTAAAAGTGCGTTGGGAGTAGCAAAAGTATTAGTCGGAGAACCACCTGAAAATACGATTAGGTCACAACCTCATATCGAAACTTTGGAAGTTATAGACGAAGTAATTAAGATTCAGTCAAAATACTGGAATTGCTTGAAACCTGGAAATCCTACCAACTCATTAGATGATGTCTACGATTTACCTAATGACAACACTGCCTATAAACTCACAAATATCGCGGATCCAATTAGATCACATCAAGTTGAAGACTTATTTAATAGATATTCATTTATCAACTTACCTATAGTGACAACTTCAAAGACAAAGACTGAACAAAGTAATTCCTTTTTCACCACGGATTTGCCCCCTAGCTTGGAAGACTTAATTGTAGCTAGTCCTGATATATATGACTGCTCAACAATTATAATATCTGTTCACGACCCACCAGAAATATGGGCAAATATAAATCCAATCAATGGTAGTATAGAGGGAAGCGCGTCGGTGGTTTTAGAACATCCATTGACTCAAATGATTGAAAAGATAAAGAAAGAAACTAGTAATAATTCTAACGTTCCCAATGAAAAAATAGGATATATCGATATAAATATTCCTTCTTATGCATTGTCTATATCGTCATTGAATAATGGTAATTCAAAATCGGCATCTCAGTCAACTTACAATCCAACTATATTCGCCCAAGAGTTGCTTTTATATGTCTGGGACAACTACTTGGCTTACTTCTCCCAATTAAAAAAGTTAGTGTTTGTGGGATTTGGAGATTCATATCAATCGATTGTACATTTATATGCCAAAAGGCCGTCGAGCGAGATTAAAAATTTAGTTCAAGGAACTATCATATTTGTTAATAGATCAGCACTTAAACCATTGGTACCTGTTATGGATGAATCAATGGTAGATTGGTACTACCAAAATTCGGTCGTATTCACTAGTTGCCTTCACTCATGCTGGAACGGATCTAGCGGAGCAACTGGTACATCTTTATCTAGACCAAATGGTAGCACAAATAATGGTAATGAGATAAATGGTATTGATAATAGTAAGAGACCAAGGCGAAAGTTTGGAAGGGTTTTAAAAGCAGCATCTGATGGGTTATGGGAGGTTATTAGTGAACGGTTTGACGAAGGTATTGATTTCGTTTTAGATTCTATTGAAGAATACAGCAGTAGTGGCAGCAGCAACTAATGCTTTCGACTGTATAATATGTATTTTTATAGATTAGTTGTTATCTATTTAAAGTTGTAAAAATGTAAAATAGTATAGTACAATAAAAACATTGTTAATGAAAATGCATATCAATGATTAGACATAACTGGGAAATCTTTTAGAAAACTCTTTCTCTAAATCATCCACGTCAGGAATAGAAATCGTACTTGCATTGCTCAATTTTCGTTCATGATTGTTTGTGTCATTCTCTGGTGACTTTAAATGAGCTGGTTTTTGGGGTTTAGGTGGTGGTTTCTTGGAACTGTGCACATCTTTATGTGAATCTTTTGCAGACAGCTTATCTCTAGTTTTCGTGACACGGTCATTCAAATTGGGTGTGATTTTAGAGGATGTTAAACTTTGAGGTACTTTTGGTGGAACTGGTCTAGCTTTACTAAGCAGAGAGCTAGCTGAACTTCGATTTGGTGTTTCTATGTACTTCTCATTCGCTAAGGAATTGGCAGTGCTATTATCGTTAATTGCAGCTATGTCGTCTTGATCAGTGAATTTACCATATCCATGTGCAGTTTTTGTGACAAGCAGCTCATCATTACTGTTTTTCATCAACATTTGCATTCTACGTTGAATGGATAGCTTCTTGGCCGCTTTCTCATCTTGTGGCGATTGGACACGCGATAAACTTTCGCTTGAATCACTCGGCTCATCAGAGCTTGATTTCTTGTATGAATTACCAGTAAATATTTGTTTAATCGACGAAATACTAGATCTTTTATTTTGTGATACATTTTCAGAGCTATAGTTACCATGGACGCCGTTACTACTTCCTCCTGTACTGATTTTTCTTAATCCGTTTCTAATCGATAACTTTATACTACCACCCGTGTTCTGCCTCAGCGACAAGCCCTTCTGAGTTTCTTCCTCTTTACTCTTCAAGAAATTCAATGTACTCTGGTCTTGATCTTGAAACCTTTTAGTTGATACATCATCATTACTTTCATTTATTTGTTGTTTGATAAAGTCCTGTAACGAAGTAGTAGAAGACGTTGTCTGTAATGGTGAGCTAGATCTGTATTGACGACCCTTCAGATCATCTTCAATATAATAACTTAAAGGTCTAGGTTTAGGTTTGGATTTGGCATTTGTGGCCGTATATGTAGGCATAAGGGTTGACATTGGTCTATGAATTGTCTTTTTATCTGATATTTTATTACTCGTGGATGCAGAATGCTGCAAAACCTTTGATTTATCTATAGTTGCAAATGGA